TTTTTTAATGTAGTTTTAATGTTGAATTATGTATTGGCTGCATTAGGTAAACAGAGAGGTTCTCAGCAGGCTACACCATTTAGAGTTATTTAGAAGAAATGAGGAAAAGCTTCCTTTTAGACAGAGGAATAAATTCTCCATCTAAGACCTGTCTCTCCTCCCTTGAATGCCAAAGAAGTGGGTTTCCAAAAATTGCATATGGCCTTCCTCTGTCTTCTCCCAGCACTCAAAGGCTTTAGCTGAACTCCATCCAAATGGTGGCATCTGTTCAGAATCCTCACTGTGTGTCACCCAACACTGTTCTAAGAGCCTTTGACTCTCCTCTGACAACTGCTCTGCTGCTGTGTCACTTCCCTTCCACAGGGTTTCCATTTCAAGAGAATACAACTTTATTTTTCTTCTAAAATAATAAATACAGAATGTAGCCACAAATTCAAACAAATTTGAAAAGTACAGAATTACTATTAACTGTATAAAAACTCAATTACTAAGATAGTTATAAAAGGCCATTACAAACTTAGAGTAACACACAAAAGCATTGACATAGCATTCACTCACTTGATGGAAGTGTTTCTGATCTGACTTTCTTTCTTCCTTGACTGTGAGGCTTCTTTTTCTTCTGTTTTGCCTCCTTTTCTTTCTCATCATCACTGAACTCCAAAACCTGGTTTAAACAAAAATCAGATGGCTTTCAGCACAAGAAAAAAGTTAACACTCCAAAAATTTATCGTAACACAATTGATGCATGACTCAGTATCCTTTCTAATTTTCCTGAAAAGAGCAACATTCCAGTGCCAAACACAAATGTTTTATTGCCTAGATGTTAGTAAGAAAAGAAAAGGAGGTGGCTGGTTACTGCCAAGAAAAAGCTTTCAAAGAGCAACTGCAGATTAAATTAATTAAAAAATGAATTTTTAAAATGAATAAAAATTAACTTAGCAACCAATACATAATTCAACATTAAAACTACATTAAAAAATCTCCAATATTGTCACTAAACTGGAATTTTCTGTAGTATATTTAATAACACTTTCTATTGAATTTGTAATAGCAGTGTTATTCCAATGAAATTTTCAGTTTTGAGGAATGTTGTCATTTACAACAGATTCAACATCCCTGCAACATTTTCTTCTTGTTACACAAGGTTTTGCTACCTTCCAAATCCTAACTTACATGAGAGAGGATAAGTTATCAGGAACAGGGAAGAAATCTGTCAGTGTTAATTAGCTGCCTGAAAAACACCTCACTCTTATGACTTCAAAGGGGCAGGATTTGTTCCCACCCTTCCCTTCCCAAATCTGAAAGTAGGAGCTTTGCTGCTTACTTGTATCTCTCTACCCAAATACACAAAGAATGGATCTCAAAAACACTGCACCAAAAAACAGTGCTTAAGAAACCTCATAAAAGTTAATTCTAAATACAACTGTTTCTTCTACTACATAACTGGATGATATACTCAAAACAGCCATAAGAACTACAGCAAGATGATGTTTACCATGAAGTAAAATCTTTCACTAACTCCCAATTTTTCTAAGAACTCCAGTACACCATACTCCACTAGTGCAGAAATAATGAACAGCAATATGTACCTTTTACTGCTACCTGATTTCCATGTAACATCCCGTAGAAGTCACCCCGCAGAAAAACTGCAGTTATCTGCTGCTGCTAGCCTTGCAGCACACAGATCACACTCTGTCATCCTCTGACCCCAAGAACAAAGCTAGAAGAGATTGTATTAGTGGCTCTACAAATAAGCTGGGCTAGTTAAGAGCCTGCCAAAAAAGGCTATCAGCTCATCAGCTGTGACAGCTTGGGACAGCATGGTATAAACTCTAACTGCTAGAAATAACCAAAGATTATTCTAATTGAGGATTACAAGATATTAGACGTGTTTTTTTCCAAAACAGAGCACACAGACAGATCACACAGTCAGAAGACTGCACACTCGTGTCATCACTGACTTTTTTCAAGCTTCCTTTGTTCCTTTCTTTAGTGAGGTACAGCAAACTTAAATGAAGAAAAATATTTTTAAATGAAGAAAAATATTTAAGAAAAAAATCTTTGGAAAAGGCAATGGATCTGTATCTGCAGATCTGACTGCCTGTACTTGGCCAATAAAATTTCATGAGTTCCTACAAACTGAAATTACATATCTAGTTTATCTCCTGGACAACTTTTAAAACATGACTAAAAAACAGAAGAGCTCACAATTAGCCAATAAGCCCATTTGGTATCATCATCACGAGAAAACTGCTAAATTAAAGCTAGTTAAGACTAGTCAGAAGTCTCTAAGTTTTTCAATGCTCTATGGGTAACATACCTACAGTCCAATCCTTATACAACATTTCTAATTCTCAAATTATGATTCTCTGTGAGATTATGTCTACAAGAAAGGAAGGCAATTTACAGCCAGAACTGACAGTCAAGAATTATTTTAGAGAAGTTAGCACCACACAGCTCAGTTTCATTTACAGGAAACAAAATCAGTATTTCAAAATGCATCATCTTCACTCACTACGGTGGAAAAAGCAACATTCCAAGTTGAGAGACTGATACACCATTACAGGACCTATCTTTGAGCACAATAAAGATCATGTCACAACATCTCTCCTTCAAGCCAGAATAACCATCCTGGGATAAGGACTGTGAATGCAAAATTTAACAATGTCTCTAATAGCATCCTTCTGTACAAGTTGTCCAGCAGTGGGATGGGCAAGTTCATGGTGCAATGGGTGAAGAACTGCCTGAAGGGTGTAGTTCTTCAGGGCTCAGTTCCAGGGAGAGTTCTGTTCAATGTATTTATCAATGATCTGGATGCAGCATTTAAAAGCACCATGAGCAAGTCTGCTGATGATACCAAACTGCCATCGACTCTCTTGAGGGACAGGAGGCCTTGCAGAAGGATCTAGACAGTTTGAGGCCCCGAAGAGTGATTAATGGGATGAAATCTAATGAGCCCAAATGCTGCACACCTAGGATGAAGTAACACCAGGCTCAAGTCTAAACTGAGAGAGGAGTGGCTGGGGAGCAGCTCTGCCAAGACAAATCCAGGGGTGCTGGTCAGCAGCAGCTCAGTGTGGGTCAGCAGGGGCCAAGCTCAGCACGAGCAGACAACCAACAGAGGTGACTGTCCTGCTGCATTCAGCCTTGGGGGGCCTCACCCTGAGTGCTCTGTGCAGTTCTGGGCCCCACATGTCAAGAACACCAAAGTCCTTGGCTATGCTGCATCCAGAGGAGAGAAACAAAGCTGGTGAAGCACTGTAAGGCATGTCCTGTGAAAAGCACACAAGGATTCTGGACTTGCCTCATATGGTGGAAAGGAGGCTGAGACAACCTCACTGCTCTCTATAGCTTCCTGACAAAGGGGAGGGAGAGGTGATGATCTCTTCTACCTGCTATGCAGTAATAGGATGAGTAGGAAGGTCCGAAACTGTACCAGGGAGGTTCAGACTGGAAATAAAGAATTTCTTTACTGAGATGGTGGTCAAACAGTGGAAGAGACTTCTTCAAGAGGTGGCTGAAACCCAGAGCCTGTCAGTATTTCAGAGACATTTGGACAATGCTTTTCACAACATGCTTCAGCTTATGCTTCAGCATCAGCCCTGAACTTGCCGGTCCTGACTGCTGTAGGTTTCTTCCAACTGAAACAGTCTATTCCATCCTAAAAATCAGTCAGAACACTGGAGAAACAAAACCAAACACCACCACCCCAAAAAGAAAAACCCCCAAGCCCCACAAAATACACCTTTTCTACCAAATTATAGAGTGAGAAGCATATATTACATAGCATAGAATTATGCTAAAAAGGCAAGCATTTGGAAGACTGAAAACAAGCACACAGATCTCTTTAGAATAATATGGTAGACATAAGGCTTGTAGTAGTTTCATCTACTTTGGATAAGGTATGCTTAAAGTAGGAATTGCAAGGAAAAGTGACTCAACTGCTGTGACGTAAAACAAATCTCATAAAACACCTCAATAAAATGACCAGCCTTGTGGTTCTTACTGAATACTCACAAAATGCATAGCTGAAGTGGAGTTAAAGACCATTAAGAGAAAGTCACTGAAGAAGTATTTACAGATCCTATAGCAAATGATGTCAATGGTCACAGGGAGCTCCTCATTCTACATAACTCTGCATGTCAGCCTTTTTTGCAGAAGAAGCCAGTCTCCTCTCATGGAACTACTGTTTTATAACAGCAAACTGTAGAGAAAGCTTACTAAGACATTCAAAGGATGCAACAGAGATGTCAAGGTAATTCTGAAGAGCAGACAGCTTAAATGTCCAAGTAGTAAGTTTGCAGAGTACTAGTAAGCCTTCAAAAACAAACAATTGCTTGTGGCCAATTGAAAACAAAGCTGCAGTGAAAGAATGACAGGGACAAAATCTGCCTCACAGAAGCAAAATTATTAGGGAAGGTAAAAGCACTGCAACCCTAAGTTAAATATTCAGGTTGTCAAATACGTTCTTGAAGGAGTAGAGGAACTGAAGATACACATCTTGCTAACTGCGAAAAGCAAGCAGAGAGACAGGTAGTACTGCCTACATTCACTACGAGACCTCTCCAAGAAAAGCATGATCCTTTCCTTCAATGAAGAGGTACATTCAATTCTTGTCTCCATAAAAAGATATCTTGCTAATTAGTTGCTCTGCACAGAATTTTTTCCACAAATGACTTGTGTAATCAAAAACAATAAACAAAAAAAAAACCCAATAGTTACTTCAGGTGGTGGTTCTTGGTCGTTCTTCCAAGATGCATCTGAACCTTTTTCCCTAAAAGAAAAAACAGACAACAAAAACACAAATTAGACAATCCGATAAAGGAAAGCTAGAACACGATAAAGTCTCCTAGAACACGAGCTTCCTCTTTTCAAAGAGTTACTTGGTTTTTAATATTGTTCAAAAGCAAACAGTAATGTTAAGATCAATTCAGGGCTTCACTACACTTGAAAAATCTAGTTTAATACTAAGTTTTGGTCAATATTCTCAAAACAAATCCTTTAGAACCTTAATTGATTTGAACCTGAACTGAGGTAGTTCACTGCAACTTTCTTATGCTGTTGACTACAATCACAAGCATTCTTATTCTTCTGGTTTCAGGACACGTATCTTCAGTTAAAAAGAACAATGAACTCATTCAGTAGAGCACAGGCTTCCAGTATAACTACAGCAAAGTAAATTCCGAATCCTAAAACCTCAGCGCTTGGCTTACAATCTTATTGAGACAGTGTTAGTTAGATGACTAGGTTTCACCTTTTATTTTGTTGTAAATATAAAATCAAATTGCAAGGCAAAAGACATTTAAAGAAGCAAAACCTCAATCTTCTTGCCTGACAAGCACCAAAATAAATTTGGATTAGTCTAATTTATTTAATTCACTGTGAAGTCCTTCACTAAAAATCAAGTAATTTCTTTGATTAGCAAAGAATTTGTGAAATAGATTTAAATTACACTGCCAGTAGTCTGTTGAAGGTTTTTTTCAGGTTGCTCTCAAATTTTATGTGTTTTGGTCTGAAACATCAACATACAAGCCTTATCTATGTAAAAAAACTGTATAAAACAGTGCAATACTGAAAATACTCGTAAAATGGAATGACAGAGTTAAAAAACATCAGTATGTCAGTGTGAAATGCCTTCAGCTGGTACTCTAATAACCAAGAGTCTTTTATGTATTCAACAAGGCAGCAAGAATCAAGTAGCAGTAACTACAAAAAACTATAAAACCTGGATTCAGAGGTCGTTAGTGACGCCCATAAGAGCACTGGTAAGTCATCTGGAGGTACATAGTGCCTCAATCCCTAACCATAAAACTTCTACATGTCCTTTTGAGATTATGAGGTAAAGAGGAAGGCAAAGAAGACATTTTAAAGCTCAATTAGAAGAAAACATTACAAAGAGCAACATACGATAAGGACTATATAAAAGTAATTTCTCAGCTGCAGAAAGCTTTTTATTATTATGAACTGAACTGTTTCTCCCCTTCATCTTGTTATTCTGCAGCAACACATGCCTTCCAGAAATACCAGAGCACACAAGAACCCCTAAGACCTGTGGTCATTCAGCAATACGTAACATCACCGACTGCAAGCTTTAAATCTTTCAAAGTCAGGCAGCTTATCTCCCTCTCCCAAAGCAGCCTTCCTCATTTCAGCAAACAAAAACCGCTTTTCATGCTCCCAAATATTTAATATCTTCTGCAAAGAACAATATAGTAATTCTTTGATTTGTGAAGTCATACTGCAAGATCTTGAAGTCTAACAAAAGGTAATTCAGAGGAATCATGAAAATACATGAGCTTTTTTAGAACCGGGTTTCAGGCAATACAACACAAGCCTATCTTTAGCAACAAATTACTTTGCATTCAGAAAGTTTTGCACTACACTTTCACTTATTTTTCTATAAAGTGTAAGGCTTATTCAAAGCACTGCAACTTTGTACAATGTAAGCAGATTGCATTTCAGATTTCAGAAAAAGCTTTAAACTCAGTGTTTCTTCCAGATCTTAATCTTGATTCCTTTCATTTTCAAAGAACCATCACAGTTTTGAACAGCAGTTTTAAAACTTTAACCCTGTCATACTCTACAATCTGGTCTGCACATAGTCAAACTAAAAAAAAAATGCAGAAAATAAAAATTATTGGTTATCAAATTTGCTATCTACTAATGTCCAAAAGTCTTCTAGTGGATCATTGACCAAAGCTTGACTTTTCTACAAACCATTCACATAGCATTAAGGTTTCTTCATGTAGCATTACAGCATAAGTCAGAAATGAGAAATTCTAAATCCATTTGTAACAAAACGTATTTACTGAGAAAGCAGCTTCAACTGATAGCACCAAATGCCTCACACAAGCTTAAGAAACTGTACTGCCAAGACCCAGAAATAAAATACTGTTTCAATGTGCTATAACTTAAGTCACACTACTCATCCTAATTGAGACAAGAAGCAATGTCTGAAGCATGTTCAGCTGTGCTGGTAAGCCATGGAAGCCTGAAGTATCTAGCCTAGGTTTCAGTTTTTTACCACCTATGATAGTGAAGTACTACCAAATGAAAAATGGTTCCTCAAACTATTTCCAAAGCATGAAACAAAGTAAAACACAAGTCTCCCATCTCAGATGCTGAGTACAGCACACGGTTATTGATGCAACAAGCAGATGATTAAAGTCTGTGCACTTACTGTGCTAAGCAACAAAGTTTAATAGCGCAAATCAAAGACCAGCTGGCATCAAAATGCTGCAGAAAAACAAACAAGCAGCAGAGCAAGCAAGTGATCTATTTTGGTCCTTACTGAAGGGAAGAAAATATGCTTGTTGCTTGCACAGAAATGAGGAAGTTAAAAAGAAATAATAAAAAAAAGGACTCCTGCAGGTCTAACTACACTTTTGACTAAAGAAAAGAACTATTCAGTATGAATAGTGGCACAGCTGTAATGAATGCAGACAATTAAGCAACCCCTGAGAACTAATCCTAATAAACAGAAACTAAGTCACTTGTATAACAAAAGATATCTAACCTATAGTTATTTCAGATGATTGCTCATCAATAATTAGAACATTAGTATCTAGCTGTCATTTATTACGTTTTATTTCTTAGTCTGTGTCTTTGAGTAGATTTCCCTCTAAATGGCATCAAGTACTACTTATTTATGCATGCTACTTTCCTCAGACTGGGATACACAAACACTACTGAGAAGTTTCTGAACATCATACTAGCATTGTCACTCAAATCCCTCTCCTCTTGCAAATTTAGAGGGTAATTTTTATCTAGAATTGTCATCCTCCAACTGCGTATAAGATTTATTGATAATTACATTTCAATTCCAGCCTTGTAATAAGAAATAAAAATAGTAAATTAATACAGACTTGTTCAGAATGCCAACAAGTTTATTATCAGTTCTGAAACTATACAAGAATCTAAAGAACAACAAAATCTGGAAAGTTCAGCTTGAAAAATTGTCTTTTTTTTATACTCGTGTATATGAGTGCCAGAGGGCGTGGAGAAGTATCAATGAACTTTTCTGGATGTGGTATTTTAGTTAGCAGCACAAAAAGCAAGCAAGCTTAGTATATTAAGCAGAATAAGAAGCTAAACTTTAGTAATTACGGCACTTTAAAAGCTCACAGTTTACAATTACTTTTTACTGTTCTCCAAGGCAAAATAGTACAGGGCCTTATTATTACAACATAGTTGAGACTATCTAAAGGAAATATGAAGTTTAGTGTTAAGCTTAGTACTATAATTTCTCACTGAAGACTCAACTTCAATCCAACATTTTTAGCTATATAAAAAAACAATTATAACCAGATTAGAAAAGAAATCAGACTTACTGTTTTAGTTTCTCTGCAAATATATACTGGGTGAAGTCCTTAACTGATGGAGCAAAATACATGCTATCTTGCACATTAATACCTCTCTCTTTGATATGCTCAGAGCTGTTAAATCTCATCACATAAAAAGGATGTGAAACAGGACCAAATATCTCAAATATCTGAAAGGAATAAAATTAAAATGTTTAAATACACTGCAAGTAAATTACTAGAGGCTAATTTCATTGTAGACAATGATATTTAAGAAGACAGACATATTTTCAAAATGCAGCATCGAAAGTTCCTTTCACACTTTAGCTTTATTACCAAATTTTGTTTGACAATATATTTCTCCAACTACTGTTTGTTGTTATATGGAAAAGTAAGTTCTCACATGCTTCATATTCCTTCCTTTTGTCAAATCTCTATTTTACTGTGTCTGTTATGCTTTCAAGTCTCGTAACACTTAGAACAATCTCCTGATCATTTTTTTCCTCAAAGTTCATCTTAACGAGATGTCTTCATAGCAGTTACCACTTGTTCCCCAGTTTCATGGAGAGCAGAGAATTTTTCCATGTTTTACAGAACATATGTAATTCAGGCTAAATTTATTCTGTAAAACATTTAGCATTCAAAGATATTTCAGTAGTTACCATTGTGGATGATGGCTTCCCTTCTACAAAAAATTCAATGCAACAACCCTCTCAGCAAACATTCCTCACTGGCCTTAAATCAGAACAGCACAGAAGAAAACATACCCCATTTTTTGTAATATTTCACTCTAACCACTTCCTCTATCTAGCAGTAAAAGAGTACACAGCCTATTACTCCAAAACATCATACATCTGAAAGCAATCTGTTCCTCTCCACAAGCACTCTCATCAAACACTAGAAACTCACCAGATATTGTAATTCTGTAAGGATGCAATTAATAGGAATTCTTGCAATTAAAAAACAGATGAATACAGCAAGAGTCAAAGGCAAAGAAAAACTATCTATCAAGGAAACATTATCTTTCATTTAGTCGACTTCAACTCTACTTTCTGGAGTGCTAAAGAATACTTCCAATTTTATACCAGAATAACAAGTTTTTAATTTACACACACCTTTCCTGCTACTTGCCGATCTTCTTTAAAAATTATGCTTTCCTCATTTATCGGAGGTAGGCCCTTCAGTGATTCGATTATTACTAAAATGGAAAGAAAAAAATAAATTAGAATTTTGTATTTCAACAGCATGTAGTTAATTGCAGTAAAACTTAAAGCACACCACTACTCATCTACTTAAGTTTGCAGAGCTGCAACCAAGTATTCTTGCACCTACATAAAAGTACTTAGAATCACACACACCCTCTCCAATGATATACAAATGCTAATACTTACATTGCTTACAAAGTTATTGTTCTCTGGGGTAATGAGAGAAAGGCCTAAGAATCACACCAGAACACAAAAGCTGCCTGGCAGTTCAGTCACAGTAGCAACTGATGGCATTTATATACGCATATACACAATCTCTTATACATTTTGCAATTTAATGCCATAGAAATCTCACATTTGGGCCTAATGATGATTAAACTTCTCTACCTGTAAAACAACAGAATGCTCAATTAAGCATTCTCAATGCCTTCCATCAGCAAATAAAGCCACTCAAGTACACAGTGTCATTCATACTCCAACAAAAGCTCAAGATCATCATTGCTAAACTTACATTAAAGGACTTTCAGCAATCAACATGTCACCAAACTAAACATTACTGCTACTACTGCAATCTGCAAAAACCTTAACATGCCAAACAAAGGTATGACAATTCTACAGGCTTAAGAGTTCACTGAATTTCAAGAGAACTTTTGAAATCAATTTCTTTTGTGCCTACCTTTAAGATAAAATATACACTGAAAGTACACAATGCGTTGTTCAAACCTCATGAGAAATATACCTTAGTAAAAAAAAAAGACAAAAACCCCCAAACATCTGAACAAAAAAATAAAAAAAAAACTTACAAAAAACAACACATAAAAACTCTCAGATAATGTTCTCAACTTGATTCACCACATGTAGCCCCCAGCCTGCAGTAGGCTAAGGAAAATATATTCTGAGAATGTACAATGCACCAGTCCCATGAAACTTAGGAGAAATATTACCACCTCCAGCCTATTTGACTTAGAGCTTCCCCTACCCCAACGCAGCCTAAATTACCAGCTTCTGCTCTTGCAGGCAAAAAGTACAGCCCCAGGGAAAGTTTCTCATATACACCAAAGCTGTTTACTTTCCAGGCCCCAACCCACACAGTGATTTTTTTCTCTTCTCTTTAAGTACCTTAAAGCAAAACACAGCAGAAGTTTTGTTAAATTCTGATACACTGAGCAGAACTTCACAGAAAGTACTGACATTTTTCTTTTAGCTACTGCATAGCAAGCATGAACCTACACTGTTCTGGCCTCAAATGTACCTCACAGGATGAAATATCCACTTTTAAGTATCACTCACTCACTGCAGACTGATGAACTTAGAAGCTTGCTACAGAGAACAGCAGAAATTCTGAGGGACATCAAAGGGACAGAAAAAGAATACTGATTGTTGTGTCAGAATAGTATTTGTGGCTTCCAAATGAGGAATCAACTCCCCTCAGACGAGATGTAAACTGGTGTATAGAGGTATTAATTTGCTTAAAAATCAAAACACAATCCCCAATTAGGTGCCTAATACAGCCACAAGTCAACTGAAATTGAGGCCTGTTTTCAGAAGAGCTGAAAGAAACTTTCCAAAAGAAACTAAAATGTGGAGAAGGAGAAGTCATAAAGCAAGGTAGTAAAAGCAAAAAAATAATCACAGATGTCCTGGGGTTTATGCCATTCATGCAGTTTTATTTCATTATGATTATTAGCTTGTCTTTAACTTTCAGCAACAAATCTAATTCAACACCTTATACATGTGCATTACATAAAGTAGGATGCAGCCTGAAGAATCCACCTACCAGTAAAGCGGTATTTGAAAAGATTATACTCCCCACTGAGGATTAGAATTAAGGATGGTTTTCAAAACTGCAGTCTTTAAAACAGTTTTGTTTATACCTTCATATTTTAAACCAAAAATAAGAGTAACAGTAGATATTATTTAGCTTTTTTTTTTTAAACTTGTTTTAAAATAACTACCATTTTAGCTGAAGGCAGCCTTCTTGAAGACCCCATTATAATCAATAAGCAAGAAAGGGCAAAGTAGAAAGGAACCAGATTACTGCCTTCCACACCCTCAACCCTGATTCCTGCAAATGAATGAAATTAAATCTCACCCCAATAAAATAATGTAGAGGGATTGCTTATATTACCTGAAGTCTTTTAAAAAAGAAAAATTAATAGAAAAAATATTTACTTCATTTTGTACTACATTCAATATAAATGCTTTAACTTCAAAATTGAACTTAAGTTAAATTGCCTGGAATGCATATCAAGCAGAACGGAACACTTGAAATAGCTTAAATACAACCATACTGTGGATATTTTAGTAACACGAGCTTCAGCAAAACTGATTTCACTTATCAAATACTGAAGGTCCCACATAGATCCAAAAAGATCCCTCAATCTCTATGCCTGCAGTTAAGCTTACATCCATTCTATATCTCAATCCCATTAAGCTTACCCTCTACCTATAAATCATGTTAGTCACAGCATCCTCTGACTGCTGACATGGACAACTTTCATTTGCTCACGGTGCCAGAAGTGGAACGAATAAAGATACAAATAAATAAATGAACTTGCACTGTTGAAGAAACACTTTTTCCTGTCCTCATATATTAACAAGCAAGCACTCAGGACTGCATTGTACTTCATCTGTGCTTTTAGTTATACAGATCTTATATATTCAGGGATTATTCAAAAAGATCACTTGCAAGTGGAAGGTTTTCTTAAAATACTTAAAATACAATAACTGCGGCCAGCATCAATATAAAAACTATAATACACAGTAGAAGAAAAAAAGGGTTTTAATTAATGTTTAATTAAACACAGAAGTTAGAAAATACATGCATGCAAGCCAAATAAAAGGAACACAAATAAAGGAACATTCAACACAAATGTCATCTATTAGTCCAGATTCTAATTCAGCACCCTGTTACTCCCAGAAACACGATGCTGCAGGACTGACACTTCGAAGGAACTGCTAAGAACACAATTCATGCAGAGATACACAGAAATTACAGTAATTGAAAACAAAGCAAATGTATCTTGCCTACCTAGCTGCTCAACGATGCTGGAAACTGTCCCAAAGAGCTTCAGCTCAACATCATCTGGAAGAATTATTGATAAGTCTTCAACAGGAGGCAATTTCTGCAAACATCAAGTCAATGTTTAGAATGTAATATCACACGAAGGCACTTACCACTTTGTCACTGCAGAAATTTGACAGTTTGTAAAAATCCCTTGGCATTTTTAAGTTTTGATTTTCTAAAAATCTGGTTTCATCTGCCTCTTTCAGAATCATCCTAAATGAACTCATCTTGGGGGACCACCACTTTTGAGGACATCTCTCCTAAAGAGACACTATTCTACATATTTCCATCACAACTCAGTAATTAATCAGAAATCAAAAAATAAGACCACTTGCAATAACATTCCATGCATGCTAGAAGAAAAATATACACAGCAAGAGGTAATAGAACATAAAATACACCGGATGTGTATCATCTGATTTAACAAAATGGAGTCTGTCCATTTATATCATGACTTGGATCATTACAGAAGATGTAAACATTGCAACAACCTATACAAAGAAAATTTTTATTAGCTGAAAGTTGCATTTGGTACAAGAGGACAACTAGAGATCAGAAAGAACTCAAAAAGCCAAACTTCAGATACAAAAATGAGTACTATACAATATTCAAATTAGGTTTTTTTCCTCAAATATAAGGCTCAGAATCTACTATCAAAGACTGATTATCAAGTTTATAATCTACCTCCAATTTACTCATAAACTGAGATTTCCATGTATATACTATGCTGCTGGGAATTCAGTAAAGGCTTTATTAAACACAAGGCAACTAGAAAAAGCATCATCTTCAAATTCAACACCCTGTGAATTCTGAGAGTTCAAATCTTAGCACTGAACTGCACTTTTAAAGGCCACAACTAGAAATAAAATCCCACACAAACAGAAGAATCTTATCCTGGTTTATCAACACATCACCTGATAATCTTCAGTCTAACAAAAGTCTTTGGCAAAGGCTTAGATACCAACACAAAGATCAAAAAGGCCAAGACTTTCCCAAATGTTATACCATTAAATGCAAACCTGAATTCAGGTAAAAACACCACATCCTTCTACCGGCCCGTGATTTTTCCAATATTAAATCAAGTTCACTGCTAAGACTTAACTAAGTCACTTTTGTAAGAGCAATTCAAAGGCCAAAGACCAGCAGGAAGGCAAAATTCTGAGCCTGTATCTGAAAAGGGCACCTTCTGCCACACTAGACAGTATGTGTCAATCCTTGCTTCAAAGCAAGAGGTTTCTAAAACATTTCCACTAACACTCTTTAATATGTATACCTGAAAAACATAACCTTCTGTGTTATTAACTGTGGTGGGTTTCACTGCAGAAAAGTCAATTTTCTTCAGAGTGGCTGTTATGAGGTTGCATTTTGGATCTGTGCTGGAAACATTACTGATAACAGAGATGTTTTTATTATTGCTGAGTGGGACTTACACAGACCCAAGGCCTTTTCTGCCTCTCATGCCACCCCATCAGTGAGGAGATGCAAAAGGAGTTGGGAGGGGCACAGCCAGAACAGGTGACCTGCACAGACCAAAGGAACATTCCATACCAGGTAACATCATGCTCAGCATACAAAGCTGGGTGAAAAAGGAGAACAAGGGACATTTGGAGTGATGGTGTTTGCATGCCCAAGCAATGCTTACACATGATGGAGCCCAGCTTTCCTGGGGATGGCAGAACACCTGCCTGCCCATGCAAAGTGATAAATTAATTTCTGGGTTTGCTTTGCTTCTGCAGGTGGCTTTTGCTTTACCTACTAAACTGTGTCTAGCTCAGCCTTGGAGCTTCTCTTTTACTGTTCTGATTCTAGCCCCATCTTGACACAGGAGGACTGAGTTAAAATATAAATTTTTAGCTGGGTTAGTAGGAAAGGGTTTTAAAAATACCACATTGTACTTACATCAATAGGCAACTCATCCTTTGTCCTAATACAGGGTGCTCTATTATCCTTCTCATTTAGACGATCATCTTCTTCTGATACTGCTGAAGATGACGAGGAGAGTGTAGTTGATGAACTATCTGAATCTGTATCACTGAATAAAAAAAACAAACATGGGAGTTACAATACTGCCTTCTCAGTCACTGTTCTGGTAAAATCCCAACACTAGCTGAGTGAAAGTTAAGAAAATACTTAATCCAAGCAATGCATCTTGCACAATGAAGGATGAAAAAATTCTAATTTTTGCAAATAAAAGTGATTAGTTCCATAATTTATGTCCTGTCCAAATCCTCCAGTAAATATTCTCACAGAGTAACTCAATATTTCTCACTAACACTTGTAAGAGATGTTTACTGTCATGTTCAAGTGAAGAGTGAAGTAAGGAACTAGTCCCTACTCATGTTAACATGCTCACTTTAGCTAAGGTCTAAATCCTTCAAGGGCTGGTGGAAGAAAAAAATGTGGAGCAACTGATCCTAGTAACTGAAAAACCACAATACAAACCTTACACAAGAACTACACTGAGATAAGCAAACTTATGCAAAATAGCCTTTCTTTCCTGAATAAAAAAACAAAAAAAAATAACCCAAACACTCCTTTCTAGATTTTTGTAATATCACACAGTCTCCTTCCTAAGTAAATGGATGGCTTTCTATTGCTCCTTTCATTATTCCAACAAATGGTCATTGTAAGGACAAGAATTAAGAGCACCTCTCCAAATGAACTGTTTGATAAAGTCAAACGTGGACTTCTTGGAACAACAACAATACACCAGAAAGAAAAAAAAAATAATCAAGACTAAAAGGCCAACCAGTGGAAGGAGTTAAACAAAACAAAAGGAAGACTGAGATACAAGACAGATAATTTAGTTGAAGTTATTAAAATTTCATCTTTAGGATTCATCAACACAACAGATTTTTGAAGTAAAAAACACTAGACACAGGGGAAGCCCCTGGAAGTCAGGAATTCCACTCTCCATCACTTCATGATAGTCAAGGAAAACTCTGAACCAACAAAAGTACTTCTGAAGTCAAACTTTAATCAGTTATCCATTAACGAAGCTTTGTATCTTTAAGAGGAGATTCTTAAGTTTTATTTTAGTCTCCTCTAGTCAGGAGAAGCACATGGCCATCTTGCTGCACCAGCCGGATAAGAAAACACAAGACTTACTGCAACAACCAAAGTGTGCAGACTTCTAATACCGCAACAGAGCCCACATTTAACCAGTTACCTGTCACCAACTATACTGAACATCAAAGCACAGATGCAGCAAGTAAAAGACGGAACCTTTTACTGAAAAAAAAAAAAAAAGAAGTTGAGAATGAGCTTTTTCACTGAGATACCAATATCCTACACTCATACACTCAGGATTTTCAGCAGTAATACCGCGGGTGTCCTGCCCCAATAACTGCAAGCGCATTGTGTGAGGACCAGTCAAGCCGGTGGGGTGGCCCAAAAGGCTCTCCAGGCCGCAACCACCAAACTCATGCTTTCGTTAAATCCTACACCCCTACAGGCACCGCTATGGAGACCTAATTTAACAGACTCCAGGCAAAATGTAACTGAAAATTACACCTTTGACGGGAAGGAGCAAGCTCCAGAGGGTGAAACACCGGGGCGGGAGGAGGCTGCGGCCAGGCACACCGGGCTCTCG